CTTGTGTATTTCCATTCAATATATTCTCTATGCATATATGTATTTATGTCTGTAAACATATTAGTCATAGTAGGATGCATGTTATAGTTTTCTATTGTCATATTTATCCAACAATGTCATGTGTACTTTCCCATATCTTCAGAATTTATTAAGCTCCAGTGGTATTCATTCCTTCTCATCTTTTGTCTTTTTATACTGGAATTCTAACTTTTGAAATCAGTCTTTAAGTATGCTTGCTTTATTGAGATTTGGAATCATTTTTGTATCTGAAATAATCTGCTCAAGGGTTGTTTGTGTCTCTTTTGGTTTAACATTGCCTGATTTGGGAAGTTCTCCAAAAATGTTTAAATTTTATATAGTGTTTTCTTTAATTATACTCAATACCTTACAGATGTATTCTATGCAGAAATTATTAACCAGAATCCCTATTAGCGATTTGACTTTAAAATTATGTTTTCATTCATATAAAATAATAGTATATTAAATCTCTGGCTTTTAAAAAAATCCATTCTTTATATTCGTTTTATTTTTTATTGTAATATATTCTACATGTAACATTGTATAAATTTAAGTTGTACAGCATGTTAATTTGAGGCATTTGTATAGCATACGATTGTCATTGTAGTGATAATTAGCACCTCTATTATGTTACATAATTATCATTTCTTTTTAATGATTGAAATTAAGTTCTAGTCTCTTAGCAAGTTTGATGATTATTGTTGTGTATGTTCTCTATACTGCACATTAGATCTCTAGTACTTACTACTCATTGCAAGTTTGTACCCTTAAACAACATCTGTCCTATCCCTCCACCCCTATTCCCTGGCAAACCCTGTTTTTATTAGTTTGGCTTTTTCAGATTCCGCATGTAAGTAATATTGTCTGGTATTTGTCTTTCTTATCACTGACTTATGTCTGACTTATCTCACTTAGCACAATGTGGAAAAAATTCGTTCTTTATAATTACATGTAACAACTTGAAAATTTAAAATACTTTCAACTGTGTGGATTTTTTACATTTTACTGTCCAATATTACCTCTTGTGTCCATTTTTTAGGAAAACATCCTAAAGATATTTATTCTTTATAATTCTCATCCTAATTTTATATATTATTTTATCTTAGAATATATATTTTATCAACCTGCCCATCCGTGGCTTTAGAGAGGATAGTCAATAAATGATAAAAATGATTGCTTACTAGAATAGGACATATTCAGGGAAAAGGTTCGTCATTTATTCAAAATTTATTTTTCCAGCTTTATTGAGACATAATTGTCACATAACATTGTGTAGGTTTAAGGTGTACAAAATAATTTGATACATGTATATATTGTGAAATGATTACCATAATAAGGTTAATGCACCCATCACCTCACATAATTATTTGTGTGTGGTAAGAACATTTATGATTTACTCTCTAATTTTCATGTACATAATACAGTATCATTAACTGTAGTCTCCATGCTGTACATTAGATCCCCAGAACTTATTCATGTTATAGCTGAAAGTTTGTACCCTTTGACTAACATCTCCCCAGTTCCCACACCTCCCCACCACCTGGCAACTGCCAATCTACTCTCCGTTTCTATGAATTTGGCTTTTTTAGATTCCACATATAAGTGAGATTGTACAGTATTTGTCTTTCTCTGACTTATTTCACTTAGCATAATGCCCTCAAAGTCCTTCCATGTTGTCACAAATGGCAGATTCTGTACGCATTCATCCATCAGTGAATATCTAGGATGTTTCTATGTCTTAGTTATTGTTAATAATACTTCAACAAACATGGGGGTGCAAATATTTCTTTGAGATACTGATTTCATTTCTTGCAAGTATACACCCACAAGTGGAATTGCTGAAACATATATAGTTCTATTTTGAATTTTTTGCAAAACCTCCATACTGTTTTCCATAGTGGCTACATTTCATTTCTACCAACAGTGTGTAAGGGTTCCCGTTTCTCTACATCCTCACCAACACTTACTATATCTTGTCTTGTTGATAACAGCCATTCTAACATGTATGAGGTAATATCTCCAAGACTTCTACAATAACAATCTTGTCTGTGGATGATTGTGAAAATCATGGGGTTTCTTTTGTTATGTGTTTTGTTTTGTTTTGTTTGGAGTGAGTGGGAAGATGGTAAAAAAAAAAAAAAAAAAAAAAACTCTTATTTTGCCATGTTGGTTACATCACTCCGTTCGACATTTCTCAAGTACCTACTATGTACTAGGCAATGCAGAATAAAAATATAAACAAGAGTTACTCAGTAATGTGTAAAGCAGAAATTTGACCTCAGATCTTTTGACTTTCAGACTTACCACTATAAAACAATGCAATTTTACCTTTAAGAGAAAACTAAAATAATGGTAATAAGATCACATGCTTTCTTTCACCAAGATTCAGTTTGCTTTATTAGTGGCTTACATAATTAATATTAATTTCAAGGGGATACAGAATATGTTTTTTATATAGCTAGAAGTTAAATTTAAACTGCAGTTCTTAGGCAAGTATACATTCTAGAAGTGTTTTTTAAAATAATTTATCTCCAGTTTTAGAAACAGTTATTTGTGACTTGGGAATTGGACTTTTATTGGAACTTTATCTGAACAATGATACTTTTGAGGAAAAAAAAGTAGGAAACACAGCATTTATGGGCCAAAACTATGCATTCTGTGTTGAAATACCCAAATTATGAAGCAGTAAGTAAATTCTGAGCCTAAAATTTAATTCTGGAAAGTAAGTGTTGCTTCTTAATCTGGTTAAATATTTGAGCTATTTTCCCACTTTTTAAAGTTGAAAATAGTGTCTAAGGTTCACATGTTTCTTTCAAAGTGATTACACATGGCATAGTATAAAATGTACTTAAATGGGATTCTGAAGAGTTACACTTTTATTATAGTACATACACAACTGGATATCAAAGATATCCATTCTGAAATTATTTAAATGTCTATTTTCTAACTGTAAACTGTTAATAGTGACACCTGACCAATAACTGAATAAATGCTATAAAAATTCAGAATACTTCCTTGTAGTCCCTGCCTTATTGATATACTCGATTTTAGTTTTACTTCTGTATAGTCATAGTTTAGCTTGGGCTTTATACAGTGAGGCACAAAAAGCCTTTATTGCAATATGCAGTAAGGCAACAGCACTTTTAATTGTAGCATTCTCTATGCATATATGGAACTGTGAGGGTACTTAAAAGTGTACACTCAGCTTGAAATTAAAACTATCAAGATTACTAAGAAGCCTGAATGTCTATTTTAATATTTTCCTCCCCAGCTTTCAAGATTTTTCTTCTGAGAAAACTAATGTAATTTTTCTGTGTTCTGTAATTCCTTGTTTCGACCAGAGTTAATGATTTTTGTTCATATACAGAGTTTATTAAGATGAATTTTTGAAGATTTGTTTCACTTGTAGTAATGCCACTCAACATTTTGTACTTTTCCTCACATAACATTTTATTTTATTAGAGCTGTTTCTTATTAAAACATTACATTTATAGTCCAACTACAGTGCAGAGTAGCAGGGAAATAATGGTAAATTTGCTAGACTAGAGGCTTCTTTAGGATTTTAAGAGAGATTTCAAGAGCCTGAAAAGCAAAATTATTAAAGCTGCATTGAGAAAGGTACTCCACTTTATAGAGTAGTTTATTGGTCTGACTAACAAGATGGAAAATAGATTTTGCTGGGGAGAGGTATTTAATGAACAACCTTAGAAATTCTCTAAACTGGAAAAAAATCCTTAGCAACCAATCCTTTGTCAAATTATCCTTCATTATATAGTTATTTATCTTACTTCAATATAATGGATGAAAGCTGTACTTAAAGAAGATGATAAAGTAGATGCCAAATAAGAAAATTATATATTGCCTGTACCTTTCCCCATAATAATATTGGCATATCTATAAAAAGTTACTAAGTTCTATAGTTTCTGCATTTTGATTATTCAACATTATTATTGTATATACTAAAAAGGGTAAATGTATCTTCATGAAAAAATAATTGAGATGCTATTCTTACTCTTAAATTTTTGTTGTTCTTATATAAACAACTGGTCATAACATTGATAGAAATTAAAGTTCTAAACATGAATTTCACATTTAAATTTAAAATGATAAAAGTGATAGCCAAAACATAAGGGGAAAGAACAAGACATTCTCCAAGTGCTAAAAGGACCTTTGATTCCTTATATAACACAGATCATTTAACTTGTAAAACTGAAATACTAAAAACAATCTCTCTAAATGGAACACTTAATTGTATGTGACATTGACTTGAAACAGACAGGAATTTTGAAAACTTTTATATCTTAGGGAATCTAATACCAATTTATTTTAATTTCAAAACAATTAAAATTCCCTTCTCAATATTTGCTGAAGGGATAGTTATCTACCTCAGGCTGTCTACTTTAAATCTGTTGATGTACAGATGTCACCCAAGATTAAATCAATGATTAAATTAAATTTCCAGATCTAAGTTGGTACACAGCTATAGAAAAGATAGAGGTGAAGCAGTAAATCTATTAATTTGACCTACCATGTACACCAATGATTGGAAGTTCTGATGAAAAAGAAAAGGTTATGGGATAAAAGAGGATACACACATACACACACACAAATTTTTGGCATAGTCTCTATTTTTCAAATGTCGTTATAGGTTGTTTTAAATCTTGATCAATCCATAGTTGCCAGATGGCAGAGGTGTTAGAGGGTTGGGTGAAAAAAAGATGAGGTATTAAGAAGTACAAATTAGTAGTTACAAAGTAGTCATGGGGATGGAAAGTACAGCATAGGGAATATAGTCAATAATATTGTAACAACTATGTATAGTGCCAAGTGGGTCCTAACCTAATTGGAGGAATCACTTCAAAAATTATCTAAATGTCTAACCACTATGCTGTACACAGCTGAAACTAATTTAAAATAATATCTGAATGTCAACTGTAATTGAAAAAAAAGAGGAGGGAGATGAAGAGGAATAAGAGGTTCAAATTTTCAGTTATAAAATAAGTCATAGGGATGTAATGTATAGCATAGGAAATATAGTCAATAATATTTAAATTTAAAAAATTAAAATGACATTAGGCAAGATCTAAAGAAATAAATGAAGTATGGACTTCAGTTAACATCTAATAATCTATTGTATCATTAATTATAGCAAATGTCATACTAATATGTTTTTAATAGGGGAAATTTGGTATGATATATATGAGAATTCCCTCTATTATTTCTGAAACTTTTCTGTAAATCTAATACTATTCTAAAAGATAGTTTATTCAAAAAAGGGAAAATATATATTCAAGGGTTATTAATAAAATTAAAATATTTTACTGCTTACTATGGATATAAATAACCTTTCAGTGCATGCTTCAATGAACTTCAGTTTAAAAATGAATGTTTTTACTTTAAAAGTCTATCAAATCAAGTAAATAAAATTAAATAGAATAATTAGGAAATCTAAAAAAAATAAAATCTTGATTAATCCAGTCATTACATTGAGCTAGAAAGCAATGACTTTTGTCATGAATGAAACAAATTTTGTGGTGATACAAGAGATTTAAATTAGCCTAATGTACTTTTCACTGTTGAGTAGATATTTAAAAAAAAAAAACATTAAGTTTGCAACTATTTCCTACATCCCTAAGAGAACATACACATTTCTTACTAGATGCACTCTATATTTCTTTATGACTCCCAACAGTTTTTTTAAAAAACTGTCTTTCACTTATGGAAAGCTGTTATTCATAAGTAAAAAGTCTCTTCAGACTACATCTAAAACTTTGTAAGGAAATGATGTAAGCAGTGACTAGAATTATGACATAGTGAACATTCCTTTGCATCATCGTTACCACAGAGATGTAGAACCACAGCAGTACACTTCATTTGCAGGGTTTGCCTAGCTCCAAGAGGTTCCCTCTTGAGTATCCTCTTCTCCATCTTCAAAAAAGTCATTATTTTCTTTCTGATTTTTGTCCAAGTGTTTATGGAATCAAGGATCTGGACTAGCAGACCATATCTCGTCACTTGGTGCCATCTACACATGAAGTATTTAAACCTGAAAAGTATTTTAACAGTTTGGGTTTGAAGCTTTAGATTATGTTTAAGATATTTTGGTTTTAGTATCTGAAAGAGTTAAGGTAGATATCTATGTTAACATTATAAAAGCATCTAGTTAATTCTTACAGCCTCCTAAGCAATATGCAATCTTATTTAGCAGGTAACATCATAGATTAGAAATTAATTTAATTTAATCTGAGTGGATCAAATGACCAGTGACTTGTTTAAACCATTCTTCACACTGTGAAATGAAGCTATCTTTGTCTTTATGAGTATAGAGTGAACAAGTTAAAACTCTTGACTCCAAATTTTATGTTTGTTAATTTATGAAAACCGATGATTATTTTGAAATATGTAAAGCAATTTCATTTAAGTAAACATTTCTAGAGAGAAAAAGTATTTATGATGGCTTTTTTCTCAGGAATATTATATCAGGTTTTGTCTTTTAAAAATCACTACTTTGACTTCATTTGATTAATCTAAGAATTCATTTTCTTTTTAGAAACATAATTTATTGTGAAAGCCAATCTTTTTAGACATGACTGAACATGGGCTTACACCTACTCTTACTGAAATAACTCCTATAGCTCCAGTTATCAGTGGGAATCCCATGTATCAGGTAAGGGTAGATTTGTTTTGTATTTTTTTCTATCATAACTGGTCAGATTTTTCTTAAATTCAGTATTAGCTTTTATTTAGAAAAACTGTCACATTTTATGATTGGTCACTTAGTTTAGAAGTTTTATCTTTTCACCAACATCAATTTATCTTCCTTGTATGCCTTTTAAACTTGCTTGAGACATTTAACATTAGCTTAGGCTACAAAGAACCTCCTTTTGTGTTGACTTAGCTGCTTTTTCAGCCTCCCTTGATTGACTCAAAAGTCTTGGTGTTGTATCTTAAAGTTTATACTACCCCCAGTTTCTTCTGATGAATGGTTTTAAAACTTTAGTCTGCTCTAATGCAGACTAAAGTTTTTTCATATTCATTCATAGATGTGAGTTCAAATTTCTAATATTTAAAAGTATCATTCTGAGTAGCAATGACTTCTACTTATAGGATTGGTCTCAAGAAAGAAATAGAGTGTAGTTTAGATTTAGTGTTTACACATTTAAAATAAGCTATTCAAGAAAATTTTTATCTACATATGTAATGTGAAAAAGTCACTTGACTTTTCTTTGGAGCTTAAAAACGAGCAAATACTGTGCTTCTAGCTTATAATTTTGTTTGGCATTATGTCAAAAGGAACTGAGATAAAATGACCTTATTGAAATTAAAAATGTTTTTTTTTTCCTAGATGGAAAATTATCATCTGAACACCACTGTTGGAACACAGTATACTACTAATTATTCACAAATGATGACTCATCCCAAGAGATATACCAGATGGAATTCTTGTCCTCAATACTGGATACAACAAGTATGTTTGAATTTTACCTTCAGATAAGCTTTTTTCATTTTTTGCAGGTTTTTTTAATGGGAAGGGTTGGTTTTTCCATCTCAAAGCACCTATTTTCTACAACCTTACTATATTAGGTTTAACTTGGTTTGGGGAGGACCTGTTCTTACTTAGGAGTATTGAATTTGTTCTAAGTGCTCATTGATCCAATTGTACTCTTCTCCTTGAGCATCACAAGTCCTCAATAAGTAGTGAGTCTCAGTGTTTTTCAAAAGGACAATAATGATTTTTCATAAATTAACAAAAAAGTATGTCATCAAAAATGGTTTATTTCTAGATTATATTGGTGCAAGTTAACCCTGGGGAGACCCTCACCATCAAGTCTGATGATGGGAACATTCAAAATATTCAAGGTCAGTATAATTAAATGTATGTTGTTTGATATTAAAGAGTAAATTTAAATATTAGTGCGAAATGACTTTACTAGTAATCTCTTCCACTAATATCCTTTCCTGTTTGAGCCAGATTGAATGCTCTTGAATTTATATATTTCTCATAGAGCATAGTATCAATAGAACAAGCAGCAGCTGGCCATCTTGCTAATCTTGCTAGTCTTACTAGAGAACTTCATATAAGGTACTTTTAAAAATCAAAAATTAATTCAAGAATTCCATTTCAAAAAGTCCAGATTTTGAAGATATCGACAGACACTATTAGTTTTAGACTATTCTCCTATAGGAGATGACTGCTGAGGTCCTCAGACAGTTCATTCATTCATTTTTCCTTTTTTTATTTTTTTTTACTTTTTTTTTAATTTTCCATTAGCATCGACATTCAATATTAGTTTTACATGTACAGCATAATGGCTGGACATCTATATAACTTACAAAGTGATCTTCTCAATAAGTCTAGTACCAACCTGACACCATAGTTATTACAATATTATTGACTATGTTCCCTATGTTGTACTTTACATCACTGTGATTTCTGTAACTGCCTATTTGTACTTCTTAATCCTTTCCCCCTTTTCACCCATTCCCCCAACTCCCCTCCCATCTGGCAACCATCAAAATATTCTCTGTATCTATGAATATTTTTGTTTTGCTTGTTCATTTATTTTGTTCTTTTAAATTCCACATATAAGTGAAGTCATGTGGTATCTTTCTGATTTATTTCACTTAGCATAATACTCTCTAGGTCTATCTACGTTGTTGCAGATGACAAGATTTCATTCTTTTTATGGTTGAGTAATCTTCCATTGTATATATCTACCACTTCTTTATCCATTCGTCTATTGATAGACACTTAGGTTGCTTCCACATCTCAACTATTGTAAATAATGCTGCAGTGAACATATAAATGCATCTGTCTTTTTGAATTAGTATTTCGGGTTTCTTCGGATAAACACCCAGAAGTAGAATTACTGGGTACTTCTTTGTCTCGTTATAGTCTTTGTTTTAAAGTATATTTTGTATGGTGTAAGTCCTGCTACCCAGCTTTTTGTTTTCATTTCCATGAAATATCTTTTTCCATCCCTTTACTTTCAGTCTGTGCGTGTCTAGATCTGAAGTGGGTTTCTTGTAGGCAGCATATGTAAGGGTCTTGTTTTCTTATCCATTCTGTCACCCTGGTCTTTTGATTAGAGTTTTCGATCCATTTACATTTAAAGTGATTATCGATAGATATGTAGTTATTATCATTTTATTATTCATATTTTTTATCATTTTCTTCTTCAAGAATTACCTTTAACATTTTTTAAATACTGTTTTGGTGTTGATGAATTCCGTTAGCTTTTTCTTGTCTGGGAAGCTCTTTATTTGTCCTTCAATTCTAAATGATAACTTTGCTGGTAATCTTGGTTGTGGGTCCTTGCTTTTCATCACTTTGAATATTTCATGCCAGTCCCTTCTGGCCTGCAAAATTAATATGGAGAAATCAGTCTTATGGGAGCGCCCTTGTAGGTAACTAATTGCTTTTCTTTTGCTTTTAAGAATCTCTTGGTCTTTAACTTTTGGAATTTTAATTAAGATGTGTCTAGGTGTGGGCTTCTTTGGGTTCATCCTGTTTGGGACATGTCAAGCTTCCTGGACTTGTATGTCTATTTCCTTCACCAGGTTAAGGAAGTTTTCTGTCACTATTTCTTCAAATAGGTTTTCAATTCCTTTATCTTTCTCTCTTCTCCTTCGGGTATCCCTATGATGTGAATGTTTGCATGCTTGATATATCCCAGAGGCCCCTTAAACTATTTTCATTGTTTTTTGGATTTTTTCTTTTTGCTGTTCCAATTCGGTGTTTTTTACTACCTTGTCTTCCGAATCACTGGTTTGATCTTCTGTGTCATATAATCTGATATTGATTCCATCTAATGTATTCATTTCAAATGTATTCTTCATTTCTTACTGGTTCTTTTTTATGGTTTCTATCTTTGTGTAAGTTCTCAGTGAGTTCATATACTTTTCCCCTAAGTTCATTGAACATCCTTATAACCAGTGTTTTGAACTCTGTATCTGTTTGATTGCTTGTCTCCATTTTGTTTAGTCTTTTTATGGAGTTTTGTTCTGTTCTTTCATTTGGGACATGTTTATCTTTTCATTTTGGCTGCTTCCCTGTGTTTTGTTAGGTATATCTGCTACATCTCCCAGTCTTGTCAAGGTGGCCTTACGTAGTAGGTGTCCTTGATTCCTATTGGCACATCAGTGGGTAGGACTGACTCTCAGGCTGACTGCCTGTGAGAAATGGCCATGACTATAGTGAATGAGCTGAAGTATGGGGGGTGACCCCACAGAGTGGGATAAACTGTAGCAGGGCTCTGCTGATTCTACCCTTTTGGTGTGTCATTTGTCGAGCTAATTGGATGGTGCTCTGGTGTGGTCACCATATGAATTGGTTTCATGGCCTCTTGGGATGGGCTCTGGTGCAGGCCCACATCAACTGCTGCCTGTGCCCAGCTCGAGTTACCTGCTAGGAGCTACAAAGTGGTCTGCAGTTGGTAGCTGCCTGCGCTAGGCTTGGAGGCACCTAGGAGAGGATATGCTGTGAACCGAGGCCGGCTGCCACTTGTGCCAGGCTGAGGGCCATTTAGCAAGAAGTACAAGAAGTGAGGCCAGTTGCTGCTTGTTTGGGGTTTTGGATCTTTCAAAGATTTTAGGGAAGTCTGCCTCAGGCCAAGGCTGGATGCTTGTGAGGAATAGCTGCTGAAAGAGGTTCAGGGCTGTGAACCAGTTGGGTGGGGCAGGTTTTCAGGGATCACCAGGGTGGGGTGAACAGTGTCAGCCAGTTTGATGAGTGGGGGGAAGGGTCAGCAAGGGAACAATGGTGTCTGCCAACCCTTCTGTCCCAGCCAGAGCTGCCCCTCCTGCCTTCACCCTGAAGCCAGACAATTCACTTCCTCCCCATACGTTCCTAGCACTTTTCAAGCTGCTGCCGCATGCAGCTCATGAGCTCAGAGCAAGGGAATCCATCAGTGAGTAACTGTGCATGGGCCCTTTAAGAGGACTGCCTGGGTCTACAGCAGCTCTCTGTCTCACCTGGGCAGAATCCCTGCTGATTTTCACAGCCAGATGTTGTGGAGACTCCTCTTCCTGGCACTGGTGCTCTGAGCTGGGGAACCCAGTGTGGGGCAGGGACCCCCTCAGTCCTAAGAGGGGCTCTCCGCAGCCAAAATATCCCTCCTGATTTTTCACTACCCGACGTTAGTATAGGACCAGTCCATTTTGTGTCTCTGCCCCTCTTACCATTCTCCACATGGCTTCTTCTTTATATCCATTCACATATTGAAAAAGTATTTCTTTAGTGCCTAGCATTTTCCAGCACTATACTAAACATTTAATATAGAACAATGTACAGGAGGGGAAAGAATATTTATATATAAATAATTTTATATATAAATGTATAGGGAAAATTATAAATAATTTCTCCTATACATGTATATATACATGTACATACATATATACCAAAGGTATAATATAGAATTGCTTCAGTAATAATATAAAATTAATATTTAATTCATATAAGATTTATTTCAAAGTAATGATTATTTCTGTCTTTATGCCAGTTATTTTGTAAACTAAGTGATTTTGTACTGTGTCTCAAAATTTCTTAAAACATTACAACTTAGCAATGGATTACATATGGCTGCTATATAAAATTTATTGTGAACCCATATTTATTATTTTTCCCCATTATTAAAAGTAAATTACCATTCTAGGACTTGAAAGCCACATATATTTTTAGAACTAAACATTAATTATAATAACTTCAGATAAATAAAAGTGATGACATATAAAAGTCTCCATTCTGTGTTGTATTTTTAGTTCCTATGCAATCCTACATTTAAGGTGTAAGAATACCTAGTATAAAAGTAGCATTGGGCCCTTCTCTATAATATGCTATTTTCTAAAAACTATTTCACTTTAGTATGTATTATTGGTGAAAAGCCTTAAAATGAAAATTTATTTAATTTTTATTATGTAACATCACTATAATAAATATATTTTATAGTACAGAGTAAGACTTCTATTCTCAATGTATAACTATTTGGGGTGAGAAAAAAACAGGTAAGTAAAGTACAATTATACTGGGAGGCTTATAGTTCATTTTTATTAGCAATAAAATTTGCCAACATTTTTATAATATAAATTTTACCCCATCTCTATTATGTGTCTTGGTTATTTTTCCTCGTTGTGATTAATTTGCACTGATTCATCTACATGCTTACCTAGTCTCCTTTGCAAGTAAACAACATACATTTATAAAAATGGCTGGCTATTGTTAAACCTTGGAGCTGGTTTTCACTGTGCAAAGTTAAATGGACTTTAAAGTTATTAAATAATTTATTAATAATAATTCTCTTTTAGGACCTGCAGATGTACCTCTGATGTCACCAAGTGGCACTTTGCCCCCAATATACCTTCCTCCTGGTTACATGTCTCAGGTATACTAGTGTGGTTTTATTTAGTGTTTAGCATTAAGTTATCATTTATAGTTTTCGTTGTGTTACTATGATAAGAGAACTTCTAGAATACTATTTATTTTATTCACTTTAATGTTATCATTGCTAAAAAGCAATTTCAGTGATGTTTAAACAAACTTCCTTTCCTTGGACTGCCTTATTCATTTAATGAATTCATGTCTTTTCATATTCATTAATCCTCCATTGTTTTTTGTTTTTCTGTATTTTAATCAATCTTAATTATCTATTACAATTGCTACAGTAATGTCTTCTGATAATGTGTGGGCTTTAGTCCCTAAAATTACTTATTATTTTCAGTTCAGTCGTATTTCATTCTCAGTTGCCAGACTACAAAGGGCACTTTTTAAAATTTTCTCAAATATTTATCAAGCACCTAAAATGGGCAGGGAGGTATGGCTCCTATAGAGGTTAATAAAATATTCCATGGCCTCAGAAGTTTTATACTTGAGAATATGTCTTTTTCTATTGCACAACTATAAACATCAAGAACACACACTAAATAAGTCAATACGATACGGTTTGGTTCTAAATGGAATTAGCTATTGAGGCAATATCTAACAAAAATACAAATGTATATACCCTTTCACCTAGCATTTCTACTTTGAGAAATTTATCCTAAAAATATATTTTCATAAATCTGGGATAATAAAGGTACAAGATTATTCATTACAATATTGTTTATAACCACAAAAGACTGGAAACAATCTATGTGCTTGTCAATGGGGGACTGTGTAATAAACCCATATGATGAAGCACTATTCAGCTGCGTAAGAAAATGGGGAAGCTCTATGTACTGATATAGAAAGATCTTCAAGATATATTGCTAAGGGTGAAAAATAAGGTACAGAGTAGTATAAATAATTCTACCTTTATGTAATAAAAAGGAGGAAAAATAAGAATATTATTATTTGTTTGTATTGGCATAAAGAACTTCTGGAAAGACTCATAAACTAAAAGCAGTAGTTATCCACTGGGGGACACTGAGCAGATAAGGGTTAGGAGGGAAACTTTTCATGTATACTTTTTTATACTTTATGGTTTTGAACCATGTCAATATATTATCCATTGTCAAAAATTACCTTTTTGAAAGCTATACATATGGGAAAAAGGAAGAATTACCTTGCCTCCTGCTTGACATAGTTTCACTTGATTGTTGATTTTTGATCCTTTAGGTTTTCTAAATTAAGAGCACAGGATGTAAATCTAAAACTTATTAGGAAAAATGCTGGATTTATGGATTCTAATATTTTTATATGACTCTGTCTTCCATTTTAGGTAGTAGAAGAAAATGGGATTCGCAAAATTATTGTTGTGCCTCAAACAATTGACTACTACACAACCATGCCTGCTACTATACCGCAAATATCATACTTCATCACACCAGCTTCACCTATGTATCCACAAGCCCCTCAACTGATGTATCCCCCAGCTCAAGGGGAATTTCCACCACCTTACATCCAAGAGCCTGTGCCAGAGCAGCTGCTGCCACCACCACCACCACTACCACCACCACCACCACTGCCACCACCAGCAGCAACATTTATATACCCTGAGCATCATGGTATTATATAATTTTCTTAAATAGGAAGTATTTTTATTTTGTTAAAATTAACAGCTTTGGGCAATTATTAAAATGAAAAAAGAAGATAGTAATTTCCATGAATGTATAATATTTCATACATGTATGTTAAGATTGATGATGATAAGTACTGGTTTGTGTTTTAGGTAAAATGCTCATAAACAGAATTTTCTTTAAATTTTTTGTACTTTCATATAGCATGTGATTTATGCTATTTATTTTTACTCACTGAGTTTATTAAATCATATTGGAAAAATCATTTAAAAAATGTTTTGGTTATTAATGCTATACAGTGAGAATATAAAAGACACTTGAAGGGTCAATATTATAATCATCTTATGACCTTAAAATTTAGAAGTATAGTTACTCCCTAGGAAAACACTATCTATATTTGCTCATGTTCTTCTTTCTATACATATCAATACATTATAAATACACACACATATCTCATATCTGTATTAAAGCAAAGTAGGAAAAAATTTTTAAAGTAAAGCATGGCTTTTTGGTGTTTTGTTGGTTTGAAAAAAATATTAAAAAGACCTTGAGATATAAAATTATTAAAATTATTAAACGGTATTCCATTGTCTCTTTTAGAAACCTATTCCCATGGAAGAACAAATTATAACCAATTTGATGAAAGGGCTACTAAAATAGGAGAACATATGAAGAAAAAACTGAGAGAACTCCAAGTTGGTGGACATAGGAATAGCTATATGGTTAACAACACTTCTTTGCTTGTGAACAAAACTAATGATATTTCCAGTATCCCTGATACTCCAAGTATTTACACTGTGGACTATGCTCCAAGCACCTACACTATAGACAATACTTTGGGCACCTACACTGTGGATAGTGCTCCATGCACCTACCCTGTGGACAATACTTTGAGCACTTACACTGTGGACAATGTTCCAAGTACCTACACTGTAGACAATGCTCCAAGTACCTACACTATAGACAATGCTCCAAGTACCTACACTGTGGACAATGTTCCCAGTACCTACACTGTGGACAATGCTCCAGGTACCTACACTGTGGACAGTGCTCCAGGTACCTACAGTGTGGACAATGCTCCAGGTACCTACACTGTGGACAGTGGTCCAGGTACCTACACTGTGGACAATGCTCCAACCTACACTGTGGACAATGCTCCAAGTACCTACACTATGGACAATGTACTCCAACAACCTACACTGTGGACAATGCTCCAAGTACCTACACTGTAGACAATGCTCCAACCACCTACACTGTGGACAATACTCCAACAACCTACACTGTGGACAATGCTCCAAGTACCTACACTGTAGACAATGCTCCAACCACCTACACTGTGGACAATACTCCAACAACCTACACTGTGGACAATGCTCCAAGTACCTACACTGTAGACAATGCTCCAACCACCTACACTGTGGACAATACTCCAACAACCTACACTGTGGACAATGCTCCAAGTACCTACACTGTAGACAATGCTCCAACCACCTACACTGTGGACAATACTCCAACAACCTACACTGTGGACAATGCTCCAAGTACCTACACTGTAGACAATGCTCCAACCACCTACACTGTGGACAATACTCCAACAACCTACACTGTGGACAATGCTCCAAGTACCTACACTGTAGACAATGCTCCAACCACCTACACTGTGGACAATACTCCAACAACCTACACTGTGGACAATGCTCCAAGTACCTACACTGTAGACAATGCTCCAACCACCTACACTGTGGACAATGCTCCAACAACCTACACTGTGGACAATGCTCCAAGTACCTACACTGTGGACAATGCTCCAAGTACCTGCACTGTGAATAATGCTCCAAGTACCTACACTGTGAACAATGATCTGAACATTCACACTGCTGACAATACGTCCAGTACTTACACTGTTGACAACCCTCCAAGCACTTACATCACTGATAATACGCCCAGCAATTCTTCCACTGACCATGTTCCTAGTACCACTACAGACACTGCTGTGCACCCTTCCACCATTGATAGTGTCCTGAGCCTTTCTAGCATGAATTATGCCAAGACTTCCACTTCCGACAGTACTCTAAGCTCTTCCACTTCTGACAATGTTCCCAACACTCCCATCTCTGAAAGTGTTCCCAACACTTCTGCAACTGATGATGCTCTCAGTACTTCCCATGCTGCTAGCACTTCCAATACTGTCAATGTTCATGTTGAGATTAGTCATAGAAAGAAACAGAAGGCTAGAAGAAATGGAGATATCAAGCAAAAACCAAGTGGAAAACAAAGCAAGAGCCCATCATCAAATGAAGCAGAAAAAGGTAAGGTCAGGAGTTTGTTTTTGTTTCCAATGAACAGCATCGTAATGTTTAGGAACCTCAGCGCATTTTAAAATTTACGTGCCATTTTCTGCTTCCATTTCCTCTTGTCTTTTTTGTACCCCTATCTCTAAATTCTTAATGAGACCACAATTAGAATGCCTTTTTAAGTCATGCAGTCCATCTTCATGCAAAGTGTGCCAGGTATCTTTTGTGCATGCCACATAATACTTTGTGGTTGCCTGTCAGTGAAACATTCCAAATTATAGTCCTAACAAGTTCACATGATTTTACTTAAATTGGGGACATTTTTCATCTCTTGAGTTTGTTTAATAATGTACACTTTGACTGCTCTTTTCTTTTAAAACTTTCAATGTAAATTGCTACTAGGTGTTTAGTTTTCTTGATGATGTATTTCTAATTGTACAATAGATACAACTTATTTTGTTTTTGCCAATGTAATATTTTGTTTGGGGTGCTTTTTTCTTTTACTTTTAGAATGCAGAACAGAACATGGAAAGTCATGCTGTTTCAGCATCAAGAAACCTGTAGTAAGTAACTAAAATGAATATTTAATTTTTTCTTTTAATTTACTTTATCACTCTAAAACATGCAAATTCACTGACATTTTTCTCTAGTACAGTTATAATTTGAAGCCCTTACCTGGTTAAAATTTCATAATCTCCTTTAGCCATTCAATATATAAAGATCCAATGTGTCATTGCTAAAGATAATATTAATGGCTCATTGTTTAATCACAGTATTTAAGTACCTAATATGAGGATATACTTAGCATCAAACGAAACCTAGGGCAAGATTACAGCATAAATTACCAATTATAAATTTTAAGTATCCTACTTGAATTTTTGTTATTTATTTTAGGTTTCCGATATTCAAACAAGATCTGCTGTTATTTCATGGGAACTGCATGGCTCTGAGAAATGTGATCATACTAAATCTCCTGTAACATTTGAATTGGCACTATCCAAGAGCAGTAAAAATGGAAAATATAAAAATGTGTACACGTAAGCCTTTCTTTTTAATCATCTCATATTTCTTATTCAATTCAAATAGTCTATCTAAACATGTAGACCTCAACTTATATCTGGGCTGAGTCCTAAAGATTCTTCTGTAATTTTTTCCAATCTTTGAATGCAATTTTCTACAGAGATAGTGGTGGTAAGTTGCAAGGTCAGTCACGAAATTCACTGAATCATGTTAGAGCTAAGAGGGACCTTAAGTAACAACTGGTCCCCTCTCTTGGTTTACAGCTTTTCTATTTGACAAGTTTAGACTAGGAGAAGAATAAGTTCCCTCCAATTCTTCCTTATCTTTTTCTCTCTTAGGTCACTTTAGGGAAGCAGTAAGTATCACAGGATGGCAGGCCTTTGGGTATACAAGCGAGATATTTACATTTCAATGGAAATTTAAGACTTGGGATCTCCTGAGAATTTAATTACATGAGCTAGTTACAAAATTGAGCTATGATAGTAACAGGATGATTTTAGGAATGTGCTCAGAATATAGAACCAGGACTAGGAAAGATATAGTGCAGGACACAGCAAGAGCATAACCAACTATTTAAAACAGATTCTTGACTGGATAGGGACATACAATCTGAAAAAGAGCATGCTGAGAGGAGAATCACAGTGAGAAGGAAATTCCAAGTAGGGAAGAAAAAGAAATTCCTTTGCCCACCAAACTAAACAAGAAATAAGTCAGAGACCTGAATCTCCATAGCAGTTTAAAAATCATAACACACCTTAAAGTTTATTTGCAGAATTTGTCATCTTTATTCAGATTCAAAGTGAAAATCTGAATGTAATTAGTTATTATGTAAAGTTTTATTTCTTTTATAATTGGCAGCTAGAAATTTTAAATTTAAGAATTACAATATACAATCTTTTATATTGGGTAGAGAGGTGAGAAGATGTAAAATGTGATGAATAGCTATTTATAAAGTTTTGCTTTAATTTACAGGGTGGTCTTTTTCTGGTGTTATGTATTTCACAAAAGTTGTTTTTTACAAAGATATGCTTGCCTATCTATACCTCTGATCACTCTGCAACCTTGAGTGGCCTTTGCTTAGACGTATCAGCCTTCGCTTAGAAGTAACAATCTTTTAGGTCTTTTTGGAAGATATTTCAGGGTTTAGAGCCTGAAGGAGCTACTTGAGGTGGTAGTGTACAGCTAGGTACTTATGACTGCTAGCTCAAGAAGATGTGTGGAAGCACAGCTACTCTATCCACTGTAGCAGACAGGTGCCCACTTAAGAAAGATTGCTCTTTGTGACTGAACAAATAAATTGCATGATGTATGGTGTTGTCTCTGAGCCTTTTCATATCAATGCTATTTAAAATAAGCTAAAAACATATCTGTATTATTACAGTGTGAAGAAGTTGCAGTGGTAAAATGATAAAGTTTCATTTCTTAAAGCTGTATCAATTTGGCATGCCAATGAAGAATTTTGAATTATTAATATAATTTTTTGCATTAATATAAAATTATCTAAACTTCAGGGAGAATTGTGCTTCTTAGTTTATGAGTTGATTATATAAGATTAGGAATGTTACTTAGATATTAAATATGTATAAGATCTGTTATAAACAAAGGTTATCTTCACAGTGGTGATGGACTTACATTTACTCTACTTGAGCTACAACCATCCATGGCCTATTTTGTAAGGTAAGAACTCCATCCTACACATTCTCCTCCTACACTGTAGCCAGCCAGATTCCCCAGTCTGTCTCAGTTCATTACTTATGATTCTTGCAGTCAGCCTTGCTATACTTGCTAGCAGTGGCTTTTCCTTCAAGCTTCAAAGCAACCTCTCCAAATCCAGCATTAGTTCACTTTCTTTCATTTAGAGCAGGTGAAAGGGTGATTTGGGAGCCACTGACTGCAATGATTCAGCTTTGTGCTATTAGAAAATTTTTTTATAATTAACTTTTAAGAAATATATCTGGAAACTCTAGTATGCAATTTAATACATATGTTAAGATATATATTTGAAAGCTTACAATTGTCATTACATTTTTAGAATTACAGCCATAAGAGGCTCAGCACACAAAACCGTGTCTGAAGTGGTTAGCTTCACAACTCCAGGTTGCGAACCAGACCCTCCACTTGCACCCAAACTGATTAACCGATCCAAGAGCAGCCTGAATTTACAGTGGAAAGTAAGGATTTTACTGCCAAAACCTCTTCAACATATTTTTTTAATTTAAAAACATTCTTTCTACTTTGTCCTGAATTTTAAATATGAAATTATGCACGCCTAATCTGACGTATTTCCCTAGCACTTTTCCTTCTCCATAATCATCTTTCTCCTCTGTCTATATCAAGCATCAAGTAAATTGGGAAATGTCAATCGGAATTTCAATAATTATTAAAAGTTGAAGTGTCAATTTTTACAACCTAATTTATTTATAATTGTAGCTACCAATAAGTCTACCTTTCAATTTACTTAAGGACTTTCTTGTTTTCATAAAATTTGAAAGACACAACAAAACATAATTTGGGCATATCTTATAGACTGTAAAAATTTCATTTTAATTTTAAAATCTGGATTGCTTCAAAAATAAAATATAAGATTAATTTTACAATAATTTCTATCACTTTAATTTTATATCTCCTTATACACACATATATATATAAACACTGTGGGAAAAGACCCTATCATAATCTTATCTTCCTGATATTTTTAGGGTTCCAATGATAATGGTTCCAAAATAAATGGCTTCCTTTTGGAATGGGATGAGGTAAACAGTTTTATTTTTAAAAACATTTGAACGTAAATTATTATTAACATTATGAATTTTTGTTATTTGTAGCATTTTATAATATTCTAATTTTTTTGTATATTATTAAGGGCAAAGGTGAAGACTTCAAAAGTTGCTATACTGGTACCATGAAACAGCATAAGATCCTTAAACTGAATGCTTCTACAAAATATTCATTCAGATTAGCTGCCAAAAATAACTTTGGCTTGAGGTATACTGAATTATTGCAATATTTAAAAGTCTATGCTTCAATAAGAACCTGAAACTAATTTTTCCATCTCAATTTATTTTTCAGTGATTTCAGTGAAATAGTAGTCTTCTATACATCAGGAACTATGCCTCCAACTCCTTTGCCACCTAAGCTAAAAGAAGCAGGAATCTGTACTTTGTCACTAGAGTGGTGTGCCCCAACTAACACAAACCTAAATGATAGCCTTACTTATGTACTAGAAATGGAAGAAGCAGGATCTGTAAGTTTTCTTTTCATATGTTTTAATCTTCAACTTTAGTCTTAGGTACATTTTATATGCATTTTACACTGAAAAAAAACTTTGATTAATTTAATTTATTTTCAAACTGCATGATTCTTTAGTCTCTGTGTTTTGGATGGGACCAATGCAGAAACAAGGTTAGGCAAGCCTGCACAGGGAGATCTGAAGGTACCCAAGTCCCTGTAAATTAGCTAGAAGCAGTAGCAGCCATAACAACAGAATAGAGAGACTCAGAGAAGTGTGTTAGTTCTTCAGCTTTGGGTCTATCCCCACCAACCTTGTCTGGTCACACAGATCCTCTGCATACTTCTACTAGGGCAAGCCCTTTCCTCATCTCCCTGGTATTCTGATGTGAGTGGGTGAACCGTATCATTCCATTCTGAACTTTCAAGTCTAAACTGAATAGGCTAGTCAACTTAAAAAGCAGCTATAAATTTAGTTATGTATATTTTGCCATATTTTAAATAAAGCAACTAACAAGAAGTGCTCTGTGTAAGTAATATGCTAAGTGCTTTCATATACATCATTTCATTACATTCTTAAAATTGGAGCCCTTTAAAGTAAAAATTATCTCCATTTTTATATAGAGAAACTGAGGTTCAGATTGATTAAGGGACTTGCTCGGGACCACCCAGATGGAAAATAAGTTAATATTTCATGCACTATAAAAAATCTTCGGAGAAGTACTACATACAAGTTCAGGGTATGTGGCTATAATTTATAAATTTCTTTTACATTTTAATATAAAATTATGCTCTTCACTAGAGATAAAAATGTGTCTATTTTGGTTGAAATTAAACCTTATTTTGCATTTAGTTCTCAAAAATTTTCAGTCAAGTAACTTGCTTTATATTATTTGCAACCTATACACATTTTCAAATCACACATTTATTTCTAGTGGTCAAACAAGGTATTCTCTTTTAAACAGATCTTTGCCTACAATATGGAGGGAAGGAGTAACCCCAGTGGAGAAGTAAAATATACTACCTGTCCAGATAACCCTGGACCCCCTAAAAAACCATATATAAAGGGAAAGATCCATGCACACAGAGTAAAAATTGGATGGGGTAAGTAATTTTTTTTTGTATTTAAAATTCACCCCCACTGCCTTACTATTAACTATTGAGAAGAAATCTAATTGCCCCTAGCTTTACAAAATATTCTCTTAATCATTTGTATATGAAATAGTTCACCATATAAGTTAGTTTAGTTGTAAACTGTATTGTTTTTTCTAGTTCTCTATTGCTATCTTATTAACTCATGAATGAACAAATTACTGAACTTTATATGGGCCTTTAAATTATGGTTATTCCAAGTAAGACTATATCTAATATAGGGGCCACTATTAGAAGAATACATCAATGGTAAATGTTAAGTTGACAAGAAATTATATTTATACAAATTTTGCCTCTAGACTGACAAAGTCAACTTTAAGATATGTATACTTAACATTTCAGTCTCTTCCAAAGAACTTTAAAATATTAATTAAATGCTTCATATCTAATATTCCAAGTACATAATCCATGTAACTTGGATTGTTTTTATCATCTTTGTTAATATCTGAATATTAATATCCTATTAAGTTTCATGTTTGTATTTTCCTCCCCTGTGAAAAAAATTTTACTATATGAGATAACATTCCACTGAAAGACTTTTAAGTTTGTTCAAGAATAATTTTATTTCTTTTTTCAGAACCACCCAAAGATAATGGTGGAACATATATTTCAAGTTACAGTTTAGAAGTTAATGAAAATTTGGATGGTAAGGCATCATGACTTTTGTTTTCATTTTGAAATAATTTTAGATTTTCCTAGAAGCTGCAAAATTAGTATACAGAATTTCCATGTATAACCTTCACTAAGCTCCTCTTAACACTAATATCTTATATAACCACCATGCAATTATCAAAACCGGAAACTGGCATTGGTACAATACTATTAACTAAACCCCAGAACTTACCTGGATTTCTCCAGTTTTTGGTCACAAATCATGTTTACTTATTAATCTTTTATGATTTTATGATTAATTCTACAGGGAATATAAATAGTTGACTATTTTAAGTAGGTAATTGGACCACAGCTAATTTTCAAAATGGTTATTACTTAGTATATACATGAGATAACAACAAGAACTCATAAAACTTATAAGTTACTTATAAATAAATTGGATAAATTTGCTTTTATCCTTTCAGTAAATTTCTGGAACATAATCTACAATGGAACCATGAGGGAATTTCTATATGATCACCTGCAACCTGGTACTACATATAAACTGAGAGTCTTTTGCACTTCGCCCATAGGCCAAAGCCAGGTGAGGAAAGAGAAAGAGAAAAGTTTTTAAATTGAGAATTGTATCATATTACTGTATCATATGAACTGTATTATATTATATTACTCAATGTTTTACAAAACTGAACTTGAAGTCGTTATAGTCATAAGGTATTTTGTATTTTTCTTAGCCTTCAGATACATTGACTATTCAAACACCTACCCTCTCTCCTTCATCTTGCTGTCCTCCACCATCGAATGGTAAAGCCAAGTCCAAAGAAAACAGCATCCAATGTGGTGAGGCTTCTTGTATGATTTGAATGACTGACCTAAATTTCTTGTTTTATAACCTCTGCTTTTTATATATTAAATGTTATTAAAGCAGAGCAAATGCTTTTCTTGTGCTACAAAATCAAATAATGTTTAGGAAATGATTTCTTGTTAATTGAAATTATAAAATTTCTTAAAATCTGGAAATTAAAAAGTTAATTGGCATAAATTAATATAATTAGAATTCTGTTACTTTGTTTTCACAGTCTTCTTATTTTGTATTATTTTAAAGAAGCACCCTTAAAATTACATGAAAAAAAATTGTTTATTTTACATATTTTTAGACAATCCTCCTCTTAATAGAAGCTCTGAAGCACTTACATATGCCAAAAAGGCAAAAGAGAACCAAGATGACACACAAGAGAACTCTGGCTCTGAAGCAAGATGCACAGTGAGTAAATAGAGATGGGGTAATTATATTATTCAGTTAATTCATTTTTAGTTCATTTCACTTTGGATGAATATATGCTTCTACTTCCTGTCAAGGTGGGGAGTGACCATGCCTACACAATAATTTGTGTGTTTGCTTATTTGTTTGTTTATGTTTATTTGTAGTTTGGATCTCATTCAACGAGCTGTGAAACTATGCCAGGCCCAAGCCCTCCTTCTCAATGTGGTACACCTGTGCTTACCTGCAAAGGTTCAACCTGTGTTGTTATTAGTTGGGGAGTATGTTATCAATTTATTTTTATTATCTTTGGTGATATAAAAGCACAATAATTGGTTTAGAAAGTTTTTTGAAAGTCTAGAACATCCTAAGAAGTCAGACTTTAGATTAGGGTTCCATAAATTTTGACCATGATTCTAGAACACACTGGTGCTAGACCTGATAGTAGTGCTATTAGGAAGGCTAAGACTATGGTAACCCTGCTTTCCAGATCCTATAATGAAAGATAATAAACTTGGAAAACCAAACAGACAATCAATAGGTAACAAATTAAATTTTTAAAATCAAAATAAGACATAATAAAATTAAATCAATTTATAGAACTTAAGATTTTTTGAAAAGCTTCATTAGGAAATCTCTGGTAGTATTTGTATGTAACTCTATAGTATGACACATAAGAAATGTGACTATGAGGTAATGAAACTTTTGAAAATAACAATTTTTATATTCATGTGAATATCTTCCCAATCAAACTAATCAAGCTCAAAAGATAAGATTTGGACTAGTTATGAAGTCAACTAAATACCTTTGAATTTTTCTTCCCTTTTTCCCCAGACTCTAGCAGAGGGTTTTTGGCATTGACACTAAAGCTTTAATCTGATAATAATAAATGACATGTCTGATTGCATCACTGTGCAAAAGCCAGAGTACTGGTGTTTGTGTTTGATTCCACTGATCAATAGCAATATTAAGCAGCATTAATATATCTAAGTTTGCTCATTTTTAAGTAACTCATTTGAAAATAATGTTAATAAATTAAGAATAGTAATTCATCAAATATGTGGGATTAGTCAATCCTTTATCTTAATTTTATTTGAGCCTTTTAATATTAATTATAGCTTTCTGTCTTATGTTTAATTATTTCTACACTTGTCTATTTCATACCATGAAATCGAAAGGAACATGTAACTTTCCACAGTATCTAGTAAGTGAACACTAACAGAAAGAATCAATATCTGTTTGTTGCATCTTTCAGATTCCTGTATGTAATGGTGCTGAAATCATTGATTACAGACTAGAATGGGGACAAACTGAAGAATCAATGCACTTGATTTACACTGGCCCTTGTCTGAGCTATGAAGTTAAAAGTCTCATTCCTGCAACTACGTATTTTTGCAGAGTTCAGGTAATCGTGACAGTTCTTCCAATGTAAATAAGGCAACAGCTATTAACTTATGTTATCTACATTCATGATACTGGCACCATTTCCAGTGTAGAAACCAGAAGGGGATCACAGACTTCTAAATCTTAAATATTCCCCATATTCAGTAACAACATTCTAAGCTCCTTCACCTCACATTTAAACCCCACATAATCTGGCACCTACTTCCTATTCCAACTTGATCTGCCATTATTTTCTCTACAGTTACGTATTTCCAGAATTTTCCTGAACTTAATCACCTGAAATGCTTATTTAAAAACACTGATTTCTGCACCTTTACTTAGACCTATTAATCAAAATTTCTAATCCAAAGACTTGCTAATCTATGTATTTAAAAAGCACCCAAAGTGATAATTATTATCAATTAGTATAAACTACATAAACTATTTCAAACAAGTTTACTCTACCACTGCCCCCAAGTATGCCTTGTACATTTATTCATACTGTGTTGCCTCTCTTGTCCCATAAAACCAAGCTTTTATATAAATGTTTCCCTGAAAACTTTAGCTGGAAGTGATCTCTTCCTCTTTTGAGCTACTAGAATTATAAGCCTCCTAACTCTCAGGTTTGGGGAGATAATCCAAATTTAAAACAACCTGATATGTTATCCCTATAAAGTTAAGCCATCAAACTCTAGGAGCCCTAATACTGGCATCTAAACTGCATCTCCCAGATTGCCTTTCACAACTGGAAGTTGCTTTTTAAAAATCTTGTCAGATTTCTGGGTGTCCCTATTTTTTGTGTTGAAAAAATGTTTTCACAATATATATTTATTAGTTAGAATGCCACCACAATAGTCCAAAGGATAGGTTGGCTACTGCAGTAGGAAAGCTGAAATGTTAATAGATTTGAAAGATATTAAAGGTAAAAATCAGTGAAATGGGTTCCTGCCAAGACAGAGTATCCCCACACCTCCCAGGCTGTCCTTACAACTGAAAAACCCTGAACATGACACAACAAACAAGCATAGGATGACTGAATGATGGAAAGAAAAATGTGGAAAAAGATCCTAGGGACCTCATAAATTGAGGAACAACATAGTGTTGAGCCCTCTAGGTTTTCTTATCACCTCCCACATATCCAAAAAAAGGTGCAGGAGAAGTCTCTGACTCCAAACTGCCAAGAGGGACAGACAGGAAAAAAAACTCCCCAAAAAAGCCTTTTCCCCGTGCCAAGGAAAATGACTGGGAAATGGTAGCCTAACAACAGAAAATATTACCTACCTTACTCTGGCCAAACATCAATGGAAAAACCACACACACCCCTGCCCTTCCCCACCCCTGAAGTTTCAACAGGCCGAGTAGAAAGCTGACCATCCAATTCACCCCAGAAGCAAGCAACATGCTTTAATTTCCCTACCCAGAGGTTTCAGTTTGGGCAGGGCCAAGCAGAGGGTTAATCTTCTATCCCCTGCTTGGCAGAAGTAGGCAGTGTTCTGCTCCCATTCCCTTGCCAACTGGTGTCAGTATAGCCAAGCAAGGAGCTTACGATTGCACATAACTCTGACAGAAGCAGGCAGCAGTACTCTAATTCCCCAGCAGGGATAGTGTTGGCAAGCTGAGCCTCCACTCCCATCCAGTAGCAAGAGACTGAAAAGACGATATGATTTGGACTATTTAGCACTCTACAGCTACTCCTGTGTCAGTGAGGCCCAGTTGGAAGCTAAACCTACACTTCCACCTACCAACAAACTGAAACAGGATATGGGAAGCAGGGCTAGTCAGCACTCAGGTCCCCCCTTATTTGCTGTCAGCGAGGTCCAGTAGAGAGCTTAGCCCCCATCTCTACTCAGCATCACAGAGAAAGATCTAGGCGGTGAAATGCTATGTTAACT